GGTGAGAACCCGGCGTGCTCCGTCCCGGCTTTGTAGGGATGCGAGGTCAATGGTCTAACGACTACGGCATGCACGACTATGAGTACACCCCTCCCCCCCCCAAGTCAAGGGTCTAATGACTACGGCATGCACGACAATGAGTACGCCCCCCCGCCCCGCCAGGTACACAAGAAAACGGTGTGTTGCTTCTTTATATATCGCTTTAGATCGGCTCGATTTGCCTTAACTCTTTCACCCGATTGGGGTGCCACTCGTCCGCACGACGGCTCTGTCTGCGAGCGACAGCTGTAGGACCGCATTCGCTAGGATGCGCTCGTCTGGGTTGCAGCACGGGGGTGGCCCGAGCGGGCAATATTTCGATTCGGGCACGGCAGAGGCAACGGAGGGGGGGAACGACGTTGTTAAATGGATCCGGGGAGAGCGGCCGGATGGGTCCCGGGGTTCAGGTGTGTCGACTCTGGCAAGAGCAAGGGGGGGGGTGGGGGGAGCGATCAGCATACGTGCGTGCGTAATCGTGCCTTCGAAGAGGTGCAGCTGGCTTTGAGAAAAAGTCGGCCGGCAACAAACCAAAGGGTGATTCCCACATTCGTTCCGCGACGTTTGTTTTTCCCGCCTGCTGCCGAATCTCTGACCTCTCCAGTTACCCCAACCTCATCATGCTGGGGCAACACAGTCTTCGCGATCACATCTGTCTGGCCCGGGAAGGTTCTCACACCTCGTGCGTGAAACGTCGAGCATACCGCGATAGAATTGCTGGGTGGTGGTTTCGTAAAGAGAGCAAAATGACCGCACTCTCCCGTGCGCCTTGTGAGCGGTGGGGTCGTGGCGACCAGACTCTTGCCTGAAGGATCATCGACAACGAGAAGCTCAGGACATCGTGAACGGGATCTGCAAACACTGAAAAAAGCGGAACCAATTGGTGAGGTTGTATACTCTACGGGAAGCAATACCACGCCACCGACAGCCTGGTTGGCAGCAGCAGCAGCAGCAGCAGCAGCAGCAATCAGCAGTAACTGCAGCAGCAACAAGAACAGCATGAAGTGCAAGCATCGCTATACCTGTGAGGTCGGCGTTCCCGTCCAACTCGACGTACTCTAACGACGTTGGGTTTCGAAGAGTTAGAGGGATGTCTCCTGTCTCGACGCAGGGGACCGTGTGGCAGCGGCGATCGTAGGGGAGGGAAACAGTGGGTGGTGCTGCTGGGCTGCGATGTATGGTGTTCCATGTTTGCCGGTTTCTCTCTAGTTGAATCTTACGATACCATTGGATATCGCACACGGGAGGGTGTGTCGTCTGCTTGGCGGGGATTGAAGCGGCGTTGGTGTCGGAGATGGACACCTACACCGGGAGAGATACTGCTGTACAGGCTAGCGTTCACCACTACCCTGATAGTTGTCAAGAAACCAAGAAGAGCATGAACAGCAATGAGCCGACATCAGGATGAACAGCTACAATAACACCCACATCCTTGACCAAGGATGTGAGAGCTACATTAGGGCCGTGCTTGAAGAATGAACCCACAGATCCTCGTTTGATAATTATTGCAAGATCGATTGTTGCACAACCGAAAGGAGGGTGTGAACCCGACCGACATGTGCAAGCAGAGCCCTCGGCGACATCTTTCCAACACCGTCTTTTTCGCCACAGTGGACGCGTCTTGTGTGGAGCAATCGACATTTCAAAATCGATCGCGACCATATTATGTGCGTTCACCCGCCCTTGCATGGGATTCCAATCCGAAGCAGGATACACTGTTGGGCATCTTACGCAGAAGCGTACAATCAGGTCTACAATAGGGGGAGAGGTGGCCGGCGTTTGTCATGAATGATAACAACGCATCTTTGCCGGACGTTTACGTTTTGGCTTCGAAAGTTCTGCCGAGAAGAGGGGTGGAACAAATATTCTCCTCCCGTCGAGGATAAGGGCTTCATTTTCCCAACCTCACGCCAGTGACAAACGCCAGAGCAACCCAAAACGAGCAACACCGACACCCAAAAAACAACAGCAGCAACAGCAACCATAGCATACCTTCAAGATAGTTGCTGCTGAGATCCAGCACAATCAGTCTGTCGAGGTTGCCGAGTTCTTCCGGGATGCCTCCTATCGCGCGCGGAACCCAAAAGTGATTGTTGTGTTTGTTGTCGCGAGCAGTTCGTCACACGGGAGATGGCGGCGGGGCGTAGCACCAGTGCATCAGCACGCTCTTTGCATGCAACACGGCGTTCGGCTACGAACGATACACTAGGAATGGGCAAATCGTTAAAACGGTAGACTCATGTAGGCCCTTTTTGCCCCTATTGGCAGGACCGCAGACAATAGCAGCGTCGGCATTGCAACGATAAACCCACAACATACACGACAAAAAAAACGAGGTGCAAAACCTAAGACCAAAATTGTTCCGACCGTGAAATAAATTTCTCCGCAGTTTCCAGATTGGTCACAACTGGAGAGGGATATTCTCCGAAACTTCCCCACTATCACGACAGGAGGGCGATACTTACTTGTCACCTCCCGCTGTCACGACTAGTGCACGGTTTCCCCCCCTCCAAACTTCCCGCTACCATAAGAGATGGGAATCGACGGCCTTCTTACCCGTGAGGCGGTTCCGTCCGATCGTGAGCTCCGTCAGCACCCGGAGGCGCCCGAGCTCCAACGGTATCGGGCCTGGCGTGCCGTCGCGAAAAGGTCGCGCGTTCTTTTAGAGGAGAGGAGAGGATTGAGTCACGCACACAACCGCAACCAACCAAGGGCAGACTTGTTGCCTCGTTCGAATCATCTGCTCTTTTTGTTGATCTCTCTGGGGTCTCGTACCGTTGGCTGCCTTTCCCCGCCAGCTCGGTTTTATTACGGTGGAGCCAGAGACCAAAGTTCTAGGCGAAGACTACGAATGTAGAAAGGTGACATCGCTAGTTCAACCAACAAAACACCGACTGGACTACTGACTTCAGCACCAGCACAACAGGAAGCAAATCCAAACATGAGGGGCACGTCACACGGCGCCACAGACCACGACGTTCGTCATGTTTGGACAACAACAGCAACGACGGGGGCGGTGGCGGCAGAGGATAAACACGTCGGAGTGGGAGCAGCAGCAACATCGACAACAGCGTCAGCCATTACGGTATACCTTCGAGATTGTTTCCGCTGAGGTCGAGACTTTGCAGGGCCTCGAGGTTCCCCAGGACCGGAGGAATTTCCCCTGCTTCCG